AAAAAAAAAAAAAAGAAAGCAGGATTTATTGAGGACAGAAAAACTCCCACAGTGGGAGGGGACCCAAAGGGGTTGCCCCCCATATGAATTTTAGACTCACTTGCGAATTTCATGAAAAAAATCCTGTTACCATTTTGTTTGGCGTTATGTTACATTTACAGATTAATTTTGAAAAATATCATCTTCATTGTATTGAATCTTCCTATCAATAAATCTTTGCTTATAAAGTTGTTTTTTTTTTTTGAGTTGGAGTCTCATTCTGTCGCCCAGGCTAGAGTGCAGTGACACACTCATGGCCACTGCAGCCTCGACCTGCTGGATTCAGGGGATCTCTCCACCTCAGTCTTCCAAGCAGCTGGAACTACAGGCGGGCGCTACCACACCCGACTAATTTTTTCCTTGAACCCATGGGCTCAGGCAATCATCTCATCTTGTCCTCCCAAAGTGCTGGCATTATAGGTGTGAGCCACCGCACCTGGCCTTGTAGAGGTCTTTTTTTAAGTTCTTCAATAAAAGGTTACCTTTGTTTTCATAAACTTCTAAGGAAAGCGTCATAGGATTTCTATCATTTAATTGATAAAATAATTCATATTTTATTATATTCTAAATTTGTTGTATTATTAATTTTTGTATGTCATATTTTTGCTGAAATCTCTTACTGGTTTATGGAGCATCTTAGATTTTCTATATAGGTAATCACACCCCTGTAATATTAATAATTATGTTTCTTTCCTAATAATAGGAAACCTAATATAAATTTAATATCCTTCATTTCATTATTCTGTATTATTTTGCTAGCTAGGATCTCTGGAAGTTAATTGAAGCCATTATGGTTAGCATCCTTTTTCTCTCTTCCTCATGTTAAGAAAAAATGAACCTTATTTCACCATTGTTTATGATGTTTTCTGGAGGCTGGTATAGTTGCAGATTTGTTTATTGCCTTTTTTTTTTTTAAGTCAGGGTTTCACTCTGTTGCCACACCAGAGAGCAGTTTCAAGATCAGTTTCAAGATCATGACTCACAGTAGCCTCAACCTCCTGGGCTCAGGTGATCCTTCCAGCTCAACCTCCCAAGAAGCTGGGACTACAGCTGTTTGCCACTAAGCTCTGCTAAATTTTTACTTTTTATAGAGACAAGGTCTCACTATGTTGCCCAGGGTGGTCTCAAACTCCTGGGCTTAAGCAATCCTTCCACCTCAGCCTCCCAAAGTGCTGGAATTACAGGCATGAGCCACCGGGCCCAGCCAGATTAGGGAGAACTATTCCTAGTTTGCTAAGAGTTTGTAGGAGTTGTGTTTGTTTGCATGTGTATATGTGAGTATGTGAATGTTAATGCTTTTGCTTGCATCTGAAAAGACAATTATTTTTTTTTTTCATCTGTTAGTGTGGTAAATTACATTCATAGACTTTTATGATAAAACATTGTTCATTTGTGGGACTAACTCATATATTTAGTATTTTTTTAATTGTTGGACTTGATTTTAATGATTTTGTTTGCATCTATAATATTCCTTTCTGTTACTGCTCTTGTTGGATCTGGTACCAAGATTATACTAGTTTTATAAATTGGGAAATAGTTCCTTTTTTCTTTTATCCAGAACCATTTTAATAAGAAGAGTATTGTTTGTTCTTTGAATGTTTGTTAGAACTCACCTGTAAAACATCCTGGATCTGATATTTTCTTTAGTTTGTTTTATGGGTAGATTTTTAACAACTGATTTCATTTCTTTAATGACTACAGTTTATTCAGATTACTTGTTTTGGGGGACTTGTACTTTTCTAGAAATTAACCATTTTATAAAGGTTTTAAAATACATCGATGTAAGACTATTCTTAGTGTTCTCCCATGATTTTTTAAATCTGTTAATACATTTTTAGTTATATATCCACTTTCAATCTCACTATTGTTTCTACTGATCTTTTTTCTTGGGTTTGGAGTATTTTAATAGTCTTTTCAAAAAACCATTTTTTGCTTTCTTGATTCTCTTAAGTTCTTTTTTTGCCTCTATTAATTTATTCCTTATACTAGATTTTAATGTTTTTTTTTGATTATTGAGTTGGATGCTTTTTCATTTGTTTCTAATACTATACGTATACATATATTTCTTATGTATTACAACTAAATTGCACTTCACAAGACTTAATAAATAATATTTTTATTATTCCTGTTTTTTAATATTCTTTATAATATCTTCTTTGCTCCATAAATTTAGAATTCTCTTAAATTTTTCCAGCATTTTTATATTATTGGCTTTATATATTTGCATTTTTTTCAAAGATTATGTTCTCTATGACACTGATTCTTCATTATTGTTGACAGTGCTCTGCAGTCTTTGCAATATGCATATATGTGTGGCAAGTTTTTTTAATTTTTCATATATACTTGAAAATAAAGTATATTTCCTAATTGTTACACTTGGGGTTCAATATATGTTCATTAGCTCAAATGTATTCATTGTGTTATTAAAATCTTTTTAATCTTATTTTTTTGTTGATTAACCCATTAGTTGACAAGAGAACGATAATGAACTTACCCTTTAGGTGAGGATTTGTTAAATTTATTCTTGTAACTATGTAGTTAAAATATTCCTGGTGAATTATTACTTTTATTATTAGATAGGAACTCTTTGTGCCTAAAAATATTTTTCACATTGAAATGCATTGTCAGTTATTAATAAAACTACAACTTTTAGTAGAGGAGGAGAGGCAAGCATTTTTCTGTTGCCTGACAAGTATGTTTCTACCTTTATATCTTAAGTCTATCTCTTATAACCATTATAGAGGTATATTTTTGGTTTTTGATACAATCTGAGAAACCTTTGTTAATTGGTGAGTTTATTCTTATATGTATAGTAATTACCAATGTATTTATGTTTATTTTAACCATTTTATTCTGTGCTTTTTGTTTACCCTACTTTTTTTAATGTTACTAGTTTCCTTTCTTCCCTTTCATGTTATTTAATGAGTTTTCTTTCTTTCCTTTTTTTTTCTACTCTTGGTTTCTAAGTTCCATAGTCACTATCCTTTGTTTAATGGTTATATGTTCTCATGTAAAATTTTAGAACCAAGTAGTTTACAACTCTCACCAAAGTTGGCCATTCTTGTGTTTCATAAAGTCTGTACTTCTTTTGATTTACCTGAGTGTCACTTTTATTCCTCAGCATTCCTTCTTTCATCTTAACTTTTCCTTTGGGGTTCATTAACTACTTAAAATAAGTCATCTAATGGTTCTTTCAGTTTATGTGTATTGTTTGATCTTTGATGTTCAAATTTCTTTTAATCTTGTTTTTATTCTTGAAGTATAATTTAGCTGAGTGTAAAGATGTTCCTTGATAGTTCTTTTTCTCAGTGCTTTGAAATGTTTTCCATTACCTTTGACATAGACTGTTGTTTAGTGACGCCTACTATCAGTCCATTGCTGCCTCTTTATAGTAAACTGGTTTTTTTCTTCCTGGTGTTTTAGAGATCTGTTTGATTTTGGTATTTATAATATCAATATCTTGTATTTAAGTATGTATTTATTTGTCTTCTTGGAATGCATTGTTCCCAAAATCCACATAAGACATTAGCCCATGGTTTTAGTTTTTTGGGGTTTTTTTTCCAGATAACATTTTACCTCACCCACCTAGAGACTAGACTGACACAAACAATCTTACTTGATGCATTCCTGTGTTGATGAGTGACTTTTATTAATGGTTTAGCTGTTTAGGGACCTTCTTTATTCCTGAGTGTCTCATTTTTTATCACTTACTGTCCATAATGTGCCTGGCTCCTCTTCTCTTGCTCCGTCCATCCTGGTGCTCTAAGAGTATCAAAATGCTGTTAAAGTAGTGTGTCTACTGAGCCAATACAAATAGAATCAATAACCACAATCTTTTTTTTTTTAAGTGTAATCTTGTAGAACTAGGCAAAAGGAGATTAAGGAGAATAGAAACTAAAGCAGTAGATACTAGTTATTTTTATCCCAGTTCTACACTAGAGGGATATCACATACTCACTTCAGGCATATTAGCACTCTACTGTAATAATTCTTAAGAAAAAGGACTTGTAGTTATAAGTCCTCCTGATAGATGAGGCCTAAGAAAACCGACATAGCAGTGACCTAAAAAAGATGAGGATATGGAACAAATCATTTAGAGTGTATACATGTTATTTATCTATCTTCCTTGACTCTTCAGTAATGTCTTGAGACATATACTGCATATGTAATTAATTTTATTCTTTTTCTGCATTTTTAAGGCTTTCTGTGAAACTTTAGAAGAGACTAACTACCATTTACAGAAAGAACTACTTGAAAAACAAAAAGAAGTGGAATCACTGAAGAAATTGCTTAATGAGAAGCAACTTCATATAGACACTTTAGAGAACAGAATCAGGTGTGTTGTGATATTTGCATTTTTGGTCTGACTAATTCAGATTTTAATACTCTGGGCTCAATGCCTTTTATGTTTTAAAATGATTTAGGAAATTTCTGATTCTGAAAGCTGTAGACTCTTGCCATACTTCCTTGGGAAAATTGTGTCTTATTTAGGAAACTGAGCAGTTGAAAGATGGGAAACACCAGGAAAACAAGCCTCTAGCTGTTCAAGAAGATCAACATTATTCATTTTAGTCATTGTTAAATAATTATTAAATATATAACTATTATTATTCTATTTAAATGATATCTTAGTTTCTAGGTATTTCCACTAACCTTTCACATATAAAAGCTCTAGTTTGCCTTCTCATCAGCATATATTGAATTGATTCTAAATATTATTTTAAATTAATCACAAATACTAATTTCTCTGATGATTCTCAGAATGAGCTATTTATTAGCCATGCAACTGACTACATTGAGAAATTAATATCTGAATACTACCAAAACTTCATGTACTCACAGAAATAAACATATACCTGTTTTAGTCATAGAAAATAACTTATTGCTGTAACTTACTTTTAGAACATTGTCTTTAGAAACTGAAGAATCACCATACGTGTCAAGAACAGAAGATGGACAGATCCTAAAAGTAGAATCCTCTGCACTTGAGGTTGATCAAGATTTCTTGGATGAAGAATCTAGGTATATAATGTTTAGTTTATTGCAGTCTAATCCTTTGACTAATTGAAGGGAACTGGTTCTGATACTCAGTGTTACATCATGAATCTGCTGAGCAAACAGAGGAGGACTATAGATATTCTGGGCTCCCCGTAAAAGTGTGTCTTTGGCATCATAATGTAAATTTTCTCTTTGCTTGCTTTAAAGCTATGTCTGAATTAAGTTGGCTCTGACTCAGTTAATTCATTAATTTTGTAAATCTTGACAACTTATTTTAATTTCCCTCAATATCACGCTTTTTCCATTCAAAAAGTAGGATACTATAACAGCAACCACTCTGCCTACCTAACAGGAATGATGAAAAGGTGTGTATTTGAAAGCATATAGAATTCTTATTGCAATTCAAAGTAATTGTTAATAATTTAGTGATGATGGTTGAGCTGTAATTATGACAATAATTTTATCTTGGTAAAAATAATTACAAACTAGATTTTTATTGGTAAATGGTAGTTTGGAGATATATATATATCTCTAAAAGTGATACTTGGCAATAACAACTTTAAAATATTAAATCTCTGAATGTTTACATATATTTTTTACATTAAGTACTTTTACACAAAGTATGTAAATATTCCTTCCATAGGGTGAAAGATTTTTAAAGGTAATATTGAAGTGAAACAGCATGCATCCAATTCCTTCGTTGACATGTTTCTCTTCTCTTGCAGAGCTGATAATCAACCATGCTTAAGTGGTAGTGAACCTGAAAATGCTGTATCAGAAATAGAAGTAGCAGAAGTGGCATATGATGCCGAAGATGACTAATAGGTCACAAGAAGTGTCATCCATTTTGATGTTTCAGCAAATTTAGAAAAGAGTGGCCTATACTATTTAAAAAGAAAAAAAAAAGAACTGTAAAACATGTACAGAAAAGAGCAAAGATGCACATGTATAAAGTTTACATAAAGAAAAGCTTTTTAAGTTATTGGGATAGGAAATATATTCACTGATGCTTTTAATTGTACTTTATCCAACCTTGTATTTAATACACTAAAAAAAATCTTATTAGAATTCTGTTATCAAGGCCCACATTCTTAAATACTGTGCATAAATTATTATGGTGTTTTGTCTATACGTTACTCCAAACATGTGTGTATGTGTGTGTATTTGAAGTCACCAGTTATATTAATCAAATGGTAATTAATTGCATGTTACTATCTGGGTGATATAGACTTCTTTATATCTCTGACATGACATATTCATTAATGGTTTAAATTAGTGAACGTTATAGTAAAGATTAAAATGATGAGTTTTTAATATTGACATGTTTACCATCTCTAAATAAAAGTTGCTTGTTTAAAATGTTTGTTAATGCTATTTAAAAAAAGAAGATGACTTTCTAGTACCAAAGGAAAACTATTTGAAAGAGCTGTAATTATATAGCTAAAGTGATAAAATAGCCTTGATTTTAAAAGCTGATTTATTAATATCAATATACTATAATAAATGTCATAGGTTAATGTGTTATACTCATTTATTTTCCACATAATTTTTATCTTAAATCTCTACTGTAGAAGAGTCAAACTCTGAATTCAAGCTCTGAATCTCTTTCAGAGAGTTCTGAAAGAATTTGCTCTTTCAAAACACTACCTCTTATTGCTAATCAAGGCATATTCTTTTGAAAATAGAGATTCTAAGCTAATAGGAAGTTTCGCAACAAGAAAACAAAATAAAAAGCCATATATACTACAAAGTTCCTAACTGGCTTGAATCCTGGTATTGAATTTTTATTTCTATATATATAAAGATGTTGTTATACTGTATTATGGCTTATTTTTTTATTTATTTAGCCAAGTGATGCACTTTATGATAATCAAATTCATTTGTGCCAAGTTTAATTGGTGAATTTCTTTAGTAAGTAGAGTTGGGAGAAAGAATTATGTAGTGCCTTTACTATTTCATTTTTTACAAAAGCCTCCCATGGTGTGTGAGTCAGCTTTATTAAAAAAATTGTTTATTTCAGCTTTGTGTACAGTTATTGAAAGTGCCTTGTTTCATTTTTATAGTGTGAAGTTACTCATTTATTTTCTATTTCTACTGTTTTGCATATTGCTGCTAATATGCATTGTAATTATGCTAGCATTTGAAAAATCCTAGTCAGTATATTAAACAGCATATGCTTTATTAAAACTGAAGGAAATGTACTGGGGAAATAGAATGACAATTTCCTTTTTTTTCCTTCACTATCGAAAAGTTTTTTAGTATCTTGATGTACATATTGAGATGTAACTGTTTAAAATTTTGACATAGATCAGCACATCCAATGGGCTGTTGTTAGTCTTTGATTTAAAAAGGAAACACTTTTTAAAGCACCAAAAATTGTAAAAGTTTTTGTCAAAATGCACAGGTATGCTATGACTCAGAACATTTCCACAATGTGTATTAGAAAGGTATTTACTATCCTTAGAGACTAAAATGAACATAATAAACTGGTCTGCTTATTTATTTTAAGTTCTCATTCTAGACATTACAAAATGCTTAAAAAGCAATCATTTAAATTTTGAATCTAATAAAACAAGATAATCTTTGCCAAATTTCAGATATTGTAGTGCTGCCTGTTTTTAAGTAAATCAAACATTTTTTAAATTTCACTGTTCAGAAGATTGTATTTAAAGTTCTGGATGGGTGAAGATAAAATTCTGTTAATTAGGAAACCACTATTATTTATATTTATACTTTACTTTTTTTTACTTTTATAATGCATTTTACTCCCAGTATTATATTCATTTAATAAATTATTTTTTCACTACAACAGTAGCTGTGTTGTTCATGTGTTGAGTACCATATCCTCCTACACTTTCTATACTCTTCTCCCTATTTCTTACAATTATTGTAAATTGAATTATATTTAAGTACGAATTTCCTAGATATAGAATGAGTCTGATTTTATTTTTACGTTTGCATTTTATAGTACTGATCATTTATTTAAGTATTTGTGAATAGGTGCAATGCACTTCTATGTAATCAATATTAATAATTAGAAAAGTTGTACATAACTGAAACAATATTTTTGTGGTAATGCTTTTATCCATTTAAAAGTTAAGTTCACATATAAGTAGTGCAATCATCAAACTTAGCATTTTAAAAATGTATATTATCTGTTTATTACACTGAGATTAACCATTTAAAGCACATTTATTTAGAAAACCATGTTTCTTAGATAAATCATCTATGTAGTCTAATTCAATTGACATTAAAAGGAAACTGTAGCCTGAGGTATAAAAATAATTTATCTAGTTTTGAAATGAATTTTATTACTTATAGAAATACAGGAGTTTTAAAATTGTATTTAAACAAGTTTGTATTCCCATTTAGCAGATAGAAGAATCTCAATTTTATCCTCTAGGAGATCTTCAGAGAGCTACATATTTGAGCCACATTTTGGCTCTTCATGGGATTACTTTTACTGCATTACACTTTGTTTCTATGCTGTTGGTTTCTAATAGCAAAAACAGTCATCAAACCTTACATTTCAATACATAGATATTTTAGGTTGCTGGCTACTATATCACACGGTGTATCCTTTATGAGGACCCATAGGAGAAACATCTTGGGTCTCAGATGTAAACCTGTGCTTCTCCCAAACAGTTGATTTATTACTCTTTATTTCTCCTCTGTTTTGTCTTTTGGCAGCTCTAAGCCAAATTATAGTTCACTTGTAGCTACTATATAGAATTGTATGGATAAGTTATGCTTTTATGTAGTAACCATGGCTGTATTCTTTTATCTTGTAATCAACCCCAATTTTTTCCTATTTATTAGAACATATTTTTGCTCTGATAAAGTCTTAGACTTAAATGATATTTTAATGACTTTAAGTAAGAGTTTGTCATAGCCTGTGCTTGATGTAACACAATTACTACCACCAATAAGTGATGCCAGTGATTTCAAAAAGCTTGCTTTTTCTTCCCTTAAAAAAAATGCCTTGAAATAAGAAAGTTAATATCAAATGCAAATTTTTAAATGCTAGCTAATGGTAAGCTATAGTAAAGTTTTGGGCCAGAATGGAATACAAAGTCAGGATCATGGTTTTCAATCACAGTCTCAAATTAGAAGAGACCTCACTTGTCACTTTCTTCTGTCATTTGTGGAAAAGTAGATCAATGTCATTCATTATCTCCACACAAAACAAACAAAAAGCAGTCAATAAACAAAGGTAGTTCTTTAATGTAATAGATATAGTAAGAATAAATATAGGTTTTAAATATCCTAATGTATGTAATATTTGCAGTCTGGCTAATTGTAATCAAAGAGATAGCATTAGCTAAATAGTAGATGAAATCCTGTACTATAGTCTGAAATATAAAGCCCCAAGTTTGAGTTATTAAATCTATAACTCTGGAGGACTCTCTTGAGAACTAACTGATCTACCAGTCCAAGCTTCTAGTCCCTTGGATAGCAGACACTGTTCACTGGCTAACACAGCAGATATTTGAATTACTCTTCTTTGCCACCTCCACGATAGGAATCAGAAAAATTAAATACTTGTTCTCTCAATTCCACTTATAGCTAGGTTTCAGCCTGTGTCACAATTATGACCAATGAGATAAGTGGAAGTCTGCTAGTAGCTTATAAAAAATCTCCTATAAGAGAGTGAGCACCTCTCCAATCTTCCTCTTGTTTTGATCTCAGATGATATTCAGAGGTACTATAGCAACCATCTGAAAACATGAGGTATGACAAGCATGAGGGAGAGGTAAGAGAATCTCAAAGACTGGCCAGTTGTTAAGCCACTGTAAGTTGCAGGTTTTGTTGTACCAAGTTAAAAGCTATATTAAGTGTGTATTGCAGACTGTAACCTTAAGAGAAAAAAAAAAAACACTTTTAAAAAGGGTTATTCATTGTACTGTACAGTTTGTTAGCAAAGAAAAAGCTAAAGGAGAACAAAAAATTCTCAAAAACTAAAGGGGAGAGATCATCTATTAGACATTTCCAAAGTCCATTACTTCTAAGGCTCCTTTTGACAAAGAAAATATATACAAAAACATCTGTATATGGTTACATGATATATACTTGATTACAATTAGCCAGGCTGCAAACATTACATACATTAGGATATTTAAAACCTCATACATCCTCATACATATATATGTATATGTATATATATATATGTATATATATGTGTATATATATATATGTATATATATGTGTATATATATATATGTACTGGGACTGCATCTCAAGCTCTGGTGCCTCCTAACCTTGCCACATCCCTTGTCTGGAATGTTATTCCCAGACTTCTCACTAGCTGACTCCTTCTCTTCAAGTCTTAGTTAAATTTTTCTTCCCCAGGTAACCTGAAATAGTACTCAAAACAGTCTGATCTCAGATGTACTGTTTACCTTCTTGTTATGTTTCCTCTGGCCTCCTCCCCAGTCTTTCCCCTGAAAGGTAAGGTTTGTCTATTTTCCGCCACCTCCTGCTCCCTTCCCCATGTAGAGGAGAATCTGGCGCATAGTTAGTGCTCAAAAGCATTTATTGAATAGGATTATACAAACCTGAATTAGGGAAGTATTAGAGAAAACAGAGGTCATTAGCAAAACAAAAATTGAAAAGAAAATTTAGGTCTTGGAGATTGGGACCCTGGAGAGATTGTCGTGCTACTACTAGTTGACAAAAAGACTTACAGAGAAGGAGGAGATTTAGGGAGGCAGAGGGGTAGATGCACCTTGGGACATGCTACATTTGAAATACTATAGTCACTCAGGTCACTCTCCATCAGGCAGCTAAATAGTCTAAAAGGGGAAAGGCCTACATCATAGAACTGAAATATTACTTTGGAGGTATTACCCCTCTTGTTCTTCACAGTACAGTGGTCTAGAACATATTGAAGACTCATATGTTAGAAGTACTAAAATAAAGACTGAAATGTAGGACTCTGTGTTCTATGGTGACAAGTGTCATGGAAATATGCCCAATAGACTCAGGTGTCTTATCCAGTTAATTTGTTTTTCATTCCATAATTAACTTGTTATCACAGAAGATGATGTTTTTCTCCTTCAGAGAACAATAATAGCATAATATTACAAAGTTTTATCTTTCTTCTTTTCTTATTTTAACAACATTTAATCATTTTACAAGTTCATATATGCCCAACTCACAATTAAGACAAGACAAGGATGCCCACTTACACTACTCCTGCTCAACATAGTATTGCAATTCCCAGCCACAGCAGTTAGACAAGAGAAATAAATAAATGGCATTTAAATTGGAAAGAAGGAAGACATGGAAAACAGACACATAGACCATGGAACAGA